ACCGACGAATATATTTGTCTGAGGTACATGTTCTCGTAGGAAAATGTGTTTCAGTAGTGATCCAGGATAAAAGATCCGGAGGTAACTATAATCGCATGGACCCAAAATAAAGGTGTTTATCGTCTCGTGGGGACGTGAATGCAAATACCTACAAGACGTGTGTTCTGATGACAGGTTGGTTATCCGGCAATTGATTATGAACAGTAATTTGAAGAAGTTAACTGGCAATATTTCATAAATCTTTTAAGAGCTACGTTGGAGAAAATCATAAAGGGAAAATGTTTATTATCATAATGGTCAGTGATATTTTGATGCATCTTTTTCGTGAAATCCAAAGACAAATTGAATAGAAGGCTTTATTCTTATTTAAGCGTCTGGACACATCTACAAGTGCAAATCGAAGTTCAAAGCAAAGTCATTTTCCTCAAACATTATTTTGTATCGTGACGACAAGATTATGAATCGGTGTGAATGCAGCGGGCAATATGACAAAAAAACATGCACGTGTAATGGACGGTGTATTTTCTCGTCGCCCTTCATTAGTATGGAAACTTGATCTCCTGCCCTCTTTAAGCAGCCCATCTCGACCTCTTTGCACTTACTGATTCAGCCGTGTTAAGGAGTCCCTAATGAAACCGATTAAAAGCAAAATGCATCCACGCCAAATTATGGCGAGAAAGAAAATCACGCGCACTCCGTAAAGTCGTCTACACTTATGAGTTCTATCTTCGAGTATCGTGTGACGAAAAGACGCGGCTCGTTGGAAATAGGTCCGCTATTAACGTATTTATCCCGGCTTTTGTTACACATGTTGATGACCATAGATGAAGCACGTGACATAATTAGTGCGGTTGTCATAAAGGGAGCTGTCCCATGGGATCGTGCTAGGAGGTGGGTGTTCATTATCTTCTAGTCCATCTACTTACCTTAATCATCGACGTAGGTGGATCACTTTTAAAACAATTTGCTCCAGGTTTCTTAATTGGTCATACTATCAAACTAACCGTGATCGTCAATATCTTAATTTCATTCCAAGTCAACCAAACATTGGTATGCCTCATAATGATTTCATACTAACCTAATCTAAAAAAAGATATATCTCCAAACGAGAGTAATTGCATGACAGAGAAGCAGACGGAATTCTTATTAAAATGACGCCGAGTATTTCATCTAAATGTAAATGAAGACGACTCTGCCGAACTTGAATCAACAAAAAACATTTACATGCTGACAACTGATTCATATCTCGTTAGTAAGACATACAGACTAAAGAAAAACATGAACTCACTGTTTGAATAATAACTAATGTGGTTAAACATGCAATATGAGTACTGATTTGAAACTATCTCTAAGAGGAAAGTAGGTTAACAAAATGAGCATGAGTGTAAAAATATAAAACGTGATGAATGGCGGCATATCTTTTGACGTCTGGTTTTTAAATTGACCAAATAGTATGTTATTAAAAATATATTTCAAAATGGTATTTAGAGCGAAGAATCTGAAAATGTCGGTTTTGTGAGATTTTCGATGATAATATCAACATAATTGCGGATCGGCTTACTTGTTGAAAAGAAGATTTGGTTTTGGGAAGGCCGACAAAACCGTATTGTATGATTTATTTTTATAGCCGTGCTTCCATGTTCTACTTCTAGGGTCCTTCCAGTGTTAACTTTATACCTGACTTCTAAAAATAAGCTAAAATTGGTCATTTCAAGCTTTACTATGTAATAATATATAAGGTCAACTGAACGCATTATAAATTGAAAATGAATGTACTTATGGGTAATTTATTCCTAGTGACGGCTAGTTAATTCGTATTACTGTACACAGTACAATACTAAATGTTGTCATATCAAATCATATCTAATTACCAAGCATAAATGGTACCCTGCAAATATAGTCTCGATTCATATAATTTACATTTTGTATTATTATTTGATGGCCATAAATGCCTTTACCCATTGTTTTCTACGTCATTTAGAAACACGTCTAAAATTATCTGAGCAAGGAAAAAAATATGTGAATATTTCATTAAATGTATTATTTATTTTAAAAACGGGTGGCAGTGGTTTTTCTGCATGAGAGTTTTCGATGGATTTTCGAGAATAAAGGGAAATTTTTTTTCAGAAATGTTATGTATTCTCTCACTCTAGTTTGTTTGTTCGTGTTCTTTTCACCACAGCTTGAACCCATTGACTGTTTAATTAAAGCATTGGTATTCGGTACATATCAACCTGTATTTCTATTCTTTTGTTTTAGTAATCATGTGAAGAAGTAGCCATATTTGGCGGACGTAGTTGGTTGCCGAAAGTAAAATGCAAATGAAATTGGCATAATGACAGGACTGCTTTGTAGGGAGCGTGTGTACATAAAAGATCAAATATAAGATACCTCACTCGCTCGCTATTATAGGCAGTTATAGCAGTTGTTCTGTTTTGCCAAAGTTCTGGTAAGAACATGATCGCAAAGATTTTCTAGAAATCAATTAAAGGGCAAATTATGCTATGCATCCCACAGAAGTCATGTTCGGATTACGTAATACATCATTGTCATGCTTACACATGTCAGTAGGTGATTGACAAGACTAGTGAAATTATCTTAGATTTTCGAAAGTCTTTGCGATCGCGTTTTTGGTTGTTTTAATTTTTAGAAAATATTATTTACAGCATATCACTAATTCTTTTAGGACTTTCATTTTTATTTAACAAATATCAATGATCCAATTACCTGCTGCACTAATCAAGGCGTGAAAAAATAACCATGCAAGATCTTTGCCACATAAAACTTCTGTTCCAATTGCCTATAATGATAGCAAACAAATTATTTGTAATGTAATTTTCATATAATTCCAAGTCCCGCCCCGTTCGATGCATTAACTAATAATAATAATAACGTAACTATTAATTGCAGTTTTACTTACGCGTCATTTTCTCGCTCATTTTGATAGCTCTTCTTCTTGGGTGTGTATCGCAGTCAGTCATGTAATATTGTTTGTCTTGTATGGCATCTTAGAAATTGTACAATCCTTAATGAAAGTTTAAAAGTATATGAGAAGAAAAAAAAAATCGCCAATCAACAATCATACTGCTATTAATAGTAAATAAAACTCGATCAACATGTTGTGTTATTTAATTAATACTTTAAAAGGTCAGATGGGTGTAAGGAAAAAAGTTACTAGATCTTTGATAATTTTCAGTTTTCTCCGATTTGGTGTAGACATGAACATGGGGCACGGGCGGGTCTTTTTTATGGGGGCGGGAGAAACGATTCACTATTCAAAAACAATTCTGGCATGAAATAAGTGTGATCACATTTTTTAGTTGATAAAGCAGCACAACAAATCTTTTTTTAAAGCCGGGAGAAGGGCATAAGATTCTTCAGGAACATGTTGGGTCGAATGTTTTTCTTTTATGTACTTAAGGTGTTGTCAAAACTGTTTTACAATGGGCACAGGCCGATTATGTCCCCCCAAATCAGATATAATAGGGCCTACACATTTGTTCTACGAATTCACCGAAAGTGCTTTTTCACTTCATCAGTTTGAAGATCTCAAGTGTTCATTAATGCCTGCGTCACACTGTCCCGAAATTGAAACCAGGGGGGTGTTTCATAAAGCTGTTCGTAAAGTTACGCATGACTTTACGAACGACTTGTATATGAAAAGCCAAATTGGATGCTCAATCATTATTGATTATTATTTATTAAGTTGAACTGTGCAGATGTAAATTAAAATTCTTATTATAACAACCATTTTTAAAGCAAAGTATATTTTTTGCCATAATTTAATTGAGATTATTGTAAATATCAGAAAGAACTTTGGGCATCCTATCTGGCACTTCATATACAATTCGTTCGTAAAGTCATGCGTAACTTGACGAACTCTTTATGAAACACTCCCCGGATCAGATGGTCATATACGAATATGAAATTTTGAATTTCGCTCGAAGAGGGCCCCGAACTTAATCAATAGCCTAGCAACAGCCGAAGCAAGTACAATGCCTATAAAACCACACATAAAGGCAACAAGAACATGAGAATTTTCATTAGTAGTATTTTTTCCGTAGGCCATGGCACACGAAGGCCACACGATGCCTACACGACATCGTATTGAGAGTACGATGCGTGTGAAACCTTCGGCCTACCGTGTGAAATTCAATTGCTGATCGGGGATTAATGATGCTCTGGGCAAGGGCGGCGGAGCGACTTCCAACGTGGGGGGGGGGGGGTTCCTACAAAAAGGGCACTTTCTGGAGAAAAAAAAGGGCACCTACACATTCTCTGGGATGCTTTCAATATTTGTTTCTCTTTACACATCATACAAGATATTGCTTAAGCATCATCACGACGGCATTGCGAGGGCTTCACGTAGTCGTGTTGCCTTCCTCAGACCATCGGGCAGCTTCTTGATTCCTTCGTATTGTCTTCGTGAGTCGAAAATGCCTGATGGCACCGATGATCACACGAGGTAAAGACTAATATGACACGATTTGACAAGATGCACTCACGATGGCCTTACGAAGGGCAAAATGAACATACGAATTGAACACGAAACGAAATAATTTTCACACTTTCGCAAGGTCTTCCGGCATTTTTTTGGCATTCCAAAAACAAAAAGTCAAATGATGGGTGATGCCCTCACGAATTGTCCAATGTTTTTTACGATCAGAGCCGAATTTGAACATTTCCTTTGTCGTGTGTCCATCTGGTGTTAATTTGGGGACAGCAAGACGCAGGCATAGCCCTTAACCGACGGATTAAGCATCGCCCAGAAAACATAAAGTTGTACTTTTGTCGGTCATTATCTATTCCCACCCACGTTCTCTATCTCTTTCTCACTCTTCATTATTTTTTACTGAGTTTGTGCACAAAAATGACGTTTAAAGATTCATTTTTTAAAGACTAATTTTCATCGCCCACCTCGTCCTTCTTATCCGTAATGGACTCGCCCGTTTGAAGCTAAATGACCTGTCTTGCTGCGCACGCATTAACCCCTCACTTAAACGACGAAACGCAATGAGAAAACAACGGGGGATGCTATAGTGAGCACGCTATCAACAAGTAGTTCTGGTTAAAAGCAGAGAGTTAAAGTGTCTACCTACCTCTGTATCTACCAATCTATTTAATTGTCTTTTGCTACTCCAACAATTATTTAATTAGTCCGCTGATGATTTCTTCCATTTTAGCCATCGTCGGGTTTCCTTTCCGCTTTTTTTGGTTGCGCCTATCACTCCACTTCAAGAGGGATCAGTGGTACAAAACTTCGGAGCAGCGTTTTGTAAATTAGCAGCAATTAACCGCCTGGTAAATTTATGAAATACCCAATGAAGGTGGTTTTGGTGACAGGGGAAACAAGTTTCGGAGAAACTCTGTAGGAACAAAGGAGTTCATATGAGCACTTCTTCAGTCTGATTTTCGATAAAAGACTTTCTCTCAAAGCGATCTCCCTCTGACACATTGATTGTCTGCTCAAATAGGGAAGATTTGCTCGACAACGTGAACGCCGGCAATCGACGTTTCAACCATACACACAGACTAAAATGGCGTGTGCAATCAGACATAAAAATTCTTTTTATTACTTTTTAGTTCCCGTCATACTTGCCTTGGTGCTTCTTTCATCCACAGTGGTTAGCGGTGAGTTTTTATTTTTGATTATTGATTATATTGGTAGTAGTAAGAATAGAAGTAGTAGCAGTTAGCGTAGTCGTGGTAGTCGTAGTAGTAGTAGAAGTAGTAACTAATATTATTACAAGTAGTGGAGTGAGGAGAGTGAGGAATAAGAGTAGTAGAGGTTTTTGAGTAAGAGGTAGAAATAGACTTAGACCTAATGTAAGAGGTAGAAAGAAGTAAAGAAGAAGTAGTATTGCGGCTTGTACTTATTGTGGAAGTAATATTAGTAATAATAATAATAATACAAAATATATTCAGCTGCGCTGGTTCAGAGCTCCTTTTTTTAAATACTAAATTCTACAAAATAGGATCTCTCAATTGAACAAATATGTTTTTAATTTGGATTTGAAGACATTGAGAGATGGAGTGCTTCGTATTTCTATTGGCAAGCTATTTTATAGTTTGGGGGCAGCAATAGTACTAACACCAGCTATTGGCAGTAGTATTCGTAGTAGACAAAATAGTAGTAGTCGTCGTTGCAGTACGAGTAATATTGGAAATAATGGGTGATGTAATCATGAGAGCGGTCCCTGTTCCATGAATTTGATGTTTCAGTCTTTATCTCGACTCCGAGATCTGAAATCTAAATACAATTTACCCCAAACTTTCTTCTGCTTTTACCTCGAGACACCGGTTCTCGATTAGGATAGTGGTAGCAGTACGAGTAATATTGGACATAATGGGTGATGCAATCATGAGAGCAGTCTCTGTCTCATGAATTTAATGTCTCAGTTTTGATCACGACTCCGAAACCTGAAATCTAAATACAGTTTATCCCAAACTTTCTTCTGCTTTTACCTCGAGACACCGGTTCTCGATTGCAACACTAGTAGCAGTAGAAATAGTAGTTGTGATGTTGGTAGTAGTAGTAGAAGTAGTTGTTGGAGTAGTAGTAGTAGTAGTAGTAGTAGTAGTAGTAGTAGTAGTAGTAGTAGTAATGGTGGTAGTAATAGTAGTCAGGGAGTAGTAGTATAAATAGTAGTAGTAGTAGTAGTAGTAGTAGTAGTAGTAGTGGTGATATTAGTAGTAGAAGTAGTAATGGTGGTAGCAGAAGTAGTAGTTTTATTAAGAGTAGTAGTGGGAGTATTAATAGTAGTAGTAGAAGTGGTGGTTGTGGTGGTGACGCTGGTAATACTCTTTTAATGTAATAGAAAAAATATCTTGTTTTTTAGTGGTTTATTAGGGATCTCTAAATTTGGACGAATTGAAATTATAGGAGGATGTATTCTATATTAGTGGTTGAAGTACTCTTTTGAGTGGTGATTCCATCATTTGTAGAGCGGATTTCGATTTCTATTCCAACGTTTTCCCTAACATGACTATCCACAACTGGATTTCCACTTCTGTACATTAAGAGTAGTAGTAGTAGTAGTACTTTAATAGAAGAAGAAGTCGTAATACCAATTGGGCTTAATATGTTTTTATTTCATATTATATATCAACCTTTCCATATCAACCGTCAATAAAATGTAATGAAATAAACATAAAACTAAAGAAAAGTTAATTATCTATACTTAACATCAAATAAGATCACGCTCGGATGGGCACATTAATGTAATCGTAAGAACGTCTGTTTAAAAAAAATGCAAAAGAGAGCAAGAAGCTATTCAAAAACATGTCAATGAACATGTGCATCTGTAAGACATTCTTGTTCAATAATGAAAAAAACAATGAATGAGAAATAATGAGGATGATTGAGCTCTGGATGTCAACTGTAGAGTCTGTAGTCTCATGACTACATGGTTCTGACAAGCAAGGTCAAGATGCCTCTCCTATACACCCGAACTCGTGGACGAGCCGTAGGATACCTCCAACCCTAATTAAGATTTTAACGGGCAGATATCCCAATTTTTAAAAAAAAATTAAGAGACTCAGTTATAGTTAAATGGTTATGTTAATTCATGCATGAAATTAGAATGATTCCTATTGGAAATCACCTTTAAAAGGATAAATTTACGATTATTTTGATAGATAAAATATATTTTATATTACATATTCAATTTATAAAATCCTAACTATAAACAGTCGCACTTTCTATTTTATGTATATATAGGTACATATATTTATATATGTTGTCAGATAGATTGTACCTCCATCTAATCGTAATGGTTGAAAGAGCTATTTGAATAGCAAAAAATCAAAAAATCAAAAAGATTTTAAGGTGGAACCACATGGCAAAATTAAATTAATTTCTCGATTTCTTCTAAAACTCTATAATATTCTGTGACGTTCAGTCATAATGGATTCATATTCAATATGTGAGATCGTCATATCAAACTTTTGGATGAGTAATTTCATATTTATATTAAAATTTGATTTGCTATGTTTATATGTACATTACTATCCTGTCCAATATTACCATACATTTTGTTTGGGCAAAGTAGGTGCATAAATATATGATATGATTGGTCAATGAGTTGTAAAGAGACAAATTTTCCATTATAGATTTTTATTTCAATCGTGAATAATCAAATGTAAAGAAAGACAACTGTACATTTATTTTTTCTTCACTGTTATTTTCCATAATACTTCAACATAATTCATTAATACATATAAATTAGTATTCAACTATAGTCCTTAATATTACTGTTCGTTTTCCAAAATATGTTTAGTGAATTATGTTGAAGTTAACTATACAGTCGAGCGAGCTGTTTTTTGAGTAAGATTACTTACTGCCACAACTGATAATACTTTGTAATGTTACAATATAATTACAGGTTTATACTCTAAATTGGTCGAGATTTATTTTATTGTCTAAAAAAAAAAAAAAAATAGTATGAAAACAATAAATAGTATGATAAAAATCGAGACGTCATTCGGCGTGTCAATACGAGATTTCAACTTTCATCAAGAATTGCAACCTTTCGGATAACCGAACGCTTTAAAAAGCCAATTTTTACTATTGTTCAGTGATATTTGTCTCTTTGTCTGTTTATTCAATGATGATGACCTGCTTTGCCAATCATACAATTCACCGTATCGACCAACTATTGTCAAGAAACTATAACATTTATCTTATCAAGGTTGTCAACGATACTGCAGTTGTGTACAGAATATTGTTTAAATAAAATCCTATAAGCAAATGCTCAAGCAAAATAAATATTTTGCAATTGATCGATCTATTACCTTCTTTTCTTTTTCATTGCTTTCGGGTATTCATGATCCGATGTAATGGATGAAAGATGAAAAAATCCGATATTTCCAAGGAGATGTATGGAGATGTCTTTTGTATCAGAGAGCCTTTTTCAATATTCAGCAAAGTTCAATCGCTTTCCTCACGATGACAAAAAATGGAGTTAAAAGCATAAAATACTATCTTCATTCAGCCCCAAAATAACATATTCTAACTGCAGTAGTTCATATCAGTGTCATTGTTTGCTCGCCAAAAAGCATTAGAGAGCCATTAGAGATTGTCATATACCCCTCACATTTAACCCCTAAAAATACTTAGAGATTTTCCCAAAAGACGAAAGATTTAGTCGGTGATCATAAAAACCCTAAATGGATTCTGATATCCGCCGCTATGAACAGATGCCTCATAAGTTCACTAAGGTTGTTTACGAACTTCTTGTAGGCCATGAACTAAGATATATAGGTCTGATGTTTATTCCAAAGTGTCAGAATCCATTGTGTTAGTGAAGTGCACAATCAAATTTGACATCACAAATAGAAGCTGGTTACCAATGAAGACCTACGAAAAAAAACCAGAGAGAAAGAAAGAGATGATAGGAATATAAACAGATAGGAGAGGGAGAAGAAGTGGGATAGGGAGGCTGAGTAATTATGTATTTATAGATCTAACAACAGAGATAGTCTGATGATAGCAAAGAAAAAACGTTTTATAAAACTTGTTTTTAAAGCGTATATAGGCTTCCCGAATGGATTGGTAATTGTTACCCTATCATAGCTTTGGCTCCGTCAGTCATTATGGGCGCACATTGTATTTCAGAAAATGAAATACGCATTTAACATAATGGATGGAGAGAGAAAACTGCAGATAAAAATACATTGTTTAATGACCACTAAGATATTTAAGTTTGACTTAACTACGGCAGGCCATTCATGCCACTGTTTGCTCTCACCGTTTACTGGAATTGGTCTCTCAAGGGACGTACCGATCATGGCCACAAATTTACAGAATTTACTCTTTTTTTATAATTCATTATTGAAGAAAAAATATTATCTAAAGATCACAAAGGTGAGAGCAAACTGATCTTAGTCTTTGTGAAACACTCCCCTGGTGTAGAATCAACATTGTGATTGAGAGTCTAGTTAATAAACCACTATACCACAATGCTCCTAAAAGTAGCCATAAACCATGGCTTACGCGATAAATGAATTGGACATTTAGTTAGTAAGGATTAGATCATCGTATGCTGAACAAAACATGTGCTCCTTTCTAAAATAGAGGTACATTTTAGCTTTATTTATAAAAAAGCGTATACAAGAATCAGTCTTAACGGTGATGAGAAGGAAGGTTGTATGGGTGGTTCTGAATTTCTTTGAAATTACTTTCTTGTTTTAATTAGTATCATCAGTATTGACTGTGTTGTCTAATTCTTCTATTCCTCAACGTTAGTCATTCAGGATTAAAAGGACAGAGAATTCTACTACTTTTAATGATCTTACCTTTAAGCTTCAAGTAGTTATATCGATGCATTTTGTCTATATAGGCTGTAAGTATAACATTCGGATAATTCTTCTCTTTTCATAAAGTGATCGATACATTGAGAGATCGTGTATTTCTTTTATATGATTTTATTGTAGCTAACATTTTGAACAAAATTAATTTGTTTTACAATACTGATGTGAGTTCTTTGTTCTACGTACAATACAAATACAATTTAGTACCAATACGTTCTCGTCAAGATATTTTTTATTTCCCTAATAACGGCTTTCCTTATCAATTCGTTTCATTAAACATACATTGGTTGTTGCTAGGTTAACATTTTTTCAAGGCTTAA